CAGCCCCCTGCCCTCCTGTGTGCCCCGCCCCCCAGCACAGGGGACCTGGCGGGATGGCGCCAGGTGACTTCCCCCTGCCCAGAGCTGCCCACGTGCGAGCCCCGAGCCTTGTTACTCAGGGCCGCCTGCGGGCGTCGCAGTTTCCCGGGTGGGAACCAGCTGACCTCACTCCTGGGAGGCCGGCCGGCTCTGGCGCCCTCCACACCTCACCTCTGTGCCTTGGACAGGGAGCCACAGAAGAGCAGCAGACGCGGAGACACCGGCTTTATGAAGCGAGGGCGGTGTGCACCCGTCGTAGGCCGGGCACCGTTTTCGGCAGCCCTGTGTCCTCAGGCCCGTGTTTGCAGACCTGTCCCTGGCGGTGGCGGGCAGGTGGCCTACACGGTGCTACATCCGGCCTCTGCGCCGCCCGGCCGGGCCCAGGGGCCAGGCGTGACCGCGTGTGAAGAGCCCTCCTGCTTCTCTCGCTGGTGACAGACGTGGAAGTGGTGTCCCTCCGGGCCTCCTGGGGCCACAGCCTGTCTCGCGCCCGCCGCCACCGCCCCTAACGGGCCTGCTCTCCCTCAGCGCCCCACCCTTGCACACACAGACGTTAACAACATAAACCCAAATTTAAAATCTTTAAACAAAGATGGCACATTGAAATTATATTATTCGGATCTATGGAGTTGGATGTGTGTAGCATTAAAAGTATTTTAAGCTCTCTCTCTTCTGATGTTTTGTATTTTTATTTTTTACGTTTTAAATTTTTAAAAATGTTTTATTTATTTTTGAGACAGAGAGAGACAGTGTGAGCTGGGGGGGGGGGGCAGAGAGAGAGGGAGACCAGAGTCGGAAGCAGCTCCAGGCTCCGAGCTGTCAGCACAGAGCCCGACGCGGGGCTCGAACTCACCGAGATCATGACCTGAGCTGAAGTCGGACGCTTAACCGACTGAGCCCCGGGCGCCCCTCTTCTGATGTTGTAAATGTACTGTCGGGACACTGTTCTGACCCCTGGGACTTGCGTCCGTCTGTCTGTCCCCGACGGCCCTGCCAACTGCACCGTCTGCCCACAAGCGACGGGCCCACCCCTCCTCTGGTCAGAACCTCGGGAGCACACACACCCACATCCGGGCCGATCAGAGGGAGGTGTGTCTGTAAGACGCACGCGGGGCATCAGCACCGTATCCAGTCTTACACAACCCAAAACAGGCACAAGAGGGCATGTGAGGAATTTCGGTTCTGGAAGGGCTGTGGGTCAGACAAATATCCAGAAAACCCTCTAATAAAAGCTTCCTGAAAATGGACAAGTGTTGTATATGCTTCTTAATAAATGCATCATGGGGCTGGCCAATGGCAGGAAATGAAGAGGAGCGAAGGAAGAGAATGAAAGGAAGCCGAGCATGACCTGGAGGTGGTCCTTGGCCTCATACTCCAGAATGGCACTTACAGCTCCAGCCATCACACCTGTATCCCCGGCAGCAGCATGGAGGGAGGGACAAAGGAGCGGCCACACCAGTTGTCTTTCAAGAAGCTTCCCGGGAGCTGCGGCCTGGCCCTCTGCCTGCATCCCGATGGCCGGCACGGGGCCACACAGCCCAGCGGCCCAGCTACGAGTCGGAGGCTCTCGTCCTGGAGCCCAGCTCCCACCACCCTTGTCCCCCCCCCCCCCCCCCCCCCCCCCCCCACGGCCAGGTCTAAGAACCGCGAGGCTGTTCCCTGCCGCCCTCCGCCTGCGTCTGGAGCACCCCCACTTCGCCCCCGCCTGCTCCTGAGCAGGCTCCTACCCTCCCTTGGCACCTCAGGAAAGCCACTCCAGGGGACGCTCTCGCTGGGCCTGCAGCCGTGGCATTGGGTCCCCCGGGGGCCTGACAGAGGGCGTCTCTGCGGGCCCCTCTCGCTCCGCCTGCAGCCCTGGTTGGCTGTGCGGGATGCCCCCACACGGCCGGCCGGGAGGGGCCCAGGCGCCCGGCTCCCAGCTCGGCTCCCAGCACCCGGCCCGGCCCCGGCGTGAGGAAGTGCTCAGCAAGCACCCGCCCGGTGGGCTGAGCCAGCCCTTCGAGCTTCCCGGGCCCTTCAGGCGCCCAAGACTGGAGCCAAGCCCGCCACTTCCCCAGTGACCTGGTGGCAGACCAAACCCACCCTCATCCTCAGGGGGCTGGGAGAGCCCTGCCACGCGGGGCGCCTTCTCCAAGCCCCCCCCCCGCCCCCCGCCAGCGGCCGCACCGGGGCCACCCAGGGCAAGTGAGGTCGGCGGGAGGGGGTGCAGGCCACTAAACCCGAGGGAACGCCATCTAGAGGCACTCGGAGGAAAGGTCAGGAGCCCGAGGTGGGAAGAAGACAGACGTGGGTCCAGCTGTGCCTCCGCTCTGCCCCCGAAGTGCCTGCTGACCCTCACCGGTCAGGCACCGCCCCACAGGGAGTGACGGCAGCGACCCCGAGGAGGCCGAGACAAAGCTGGAGGGCGGACTCCCGGCGGCCCCGCACGCCTTCGTGAAGACGCGGCTCACAGGAGCAGAGGCCCCAAGATCCCGTCCCCGCGGAGCACCCGGCACAGGCCGCAGGGACCGCGACGGGGCGGACAGGACGCGCCCTGCAGGCTGACCTCTTCACCAACCCGCGCACACGCATCCCCCCGCCCCTGGGCCAGCGGCCGCCGCTCTAACCGCAGAGGCACCACTGCGAGGGCGGCCAAGGTCTGCTGGAGACCGCGCTCTTTAGAGAGATTAAAAATATAAGTTGATCGGGGTGCCTGGGTGGCTTAGTCGGTTAAGCGTCTGACTTTCGCTTGGGTCATGATCTCGCGGTTCGTGGGTTCGAGCCCCGCATCGGGCTCTGTGCTGACTGCCAGCTCAGAGCCTGGAGCCTGTTTCAGAGTCTGTGACTCCCTCTCTCTCTGACCCTCCCCTGCTCATGCTCTCTCTCTCTCTCCTAGAAATAAAAAATATATATATATATATAAGGTGATTTAAATACTTTTGAGTGAAATACAAGGACTTTAAACACAGTTCAGATTTTTAAGTGTTAGGATTCTGAAACACACCAAGTAGGTCTTCTGCTCCTGACCTTACACCTTGACCCCACGAGTGAAAGTCCTGGGGGCAGACCTTGCCCAGAAAGGGCCCTGATAAAATACACAAGCTCGAACAACGCAGGCTGCTGGGAGGGTGGAATGCGGGCAAGAGCGAGCCCTGAAGTCTTGGCAGAGGGCTCGGGTCACCTGAAAACCCCGCAAGGTCAAGGTCATGAGGCCACAGCTCTAAACGCCTGCCACTGACAGACCATCGACAGCTGCTGCCTCATCACGGTGCTGACGTCCATAAGCCCAGACCTGCCGAGTGGCAAATTGCCAGGAAATTATCACCAACATGGCGCCAGCGGGGCGAATGCCCACAACAGCGCCCGTGTGACGACAAGGCTCGTCAGCAGAGAGACCCCGGGGGCCAGAAAACGGAAAGGCCTCCCCTTCGCCAGGCCCAGCTCAGTGACAGGGCTCTAGGGGCACCCACGGGGCTCAGTCGGTGGAGCGCTTGACCTCGGGGTTGTAAGTTTGAGCCCCACTTTGGGGGTAGATATTAAATAAAAACTTTTACTTATTTATAATTTTTTTTTTAATATTTTTATTTATTTCTAGGAGAGACAGAGAGACAGCGTGAGAAGGGGAAGGTCAGAGATACAGGGAGTCACAGACTGAAATAGGCTCCAGGCTCTGAGCTGGCAGTCAGCACAGAGCCCGACGCGGGGCTCAAACCCACGAGCCGCGAGATCATGACCTAAGCGAAAGTCGGACGCTTAACCGACTAAGCCACCCAGGCGCCCCTACTTATTTATAATTTTTTTTTAAGAGAGAGAGAGCACGAGCAGGGGAGGGGCAGAGAGAGAGGGAGGCACAGAATCTGAAACAGGCTCCAGGCTCTGAGCTGTCAGCACAGAGCCCGAAGTGGGGCTCGAACCCACGAACTGTGAGGTCATGACCTGAGCCGAAGTCGGCCGCCTAACTGACTGAGCCCCCCAGGCGCCTGTAAGTAAATAAAAACTTTATTGAAAACGGGTTCTGGAGGCCAGTGGAGCAAAACTCAAGAAGCAGGGACTTGGAATAGGGGACGCGCACAGGGCCTGACCTGCCCCCGCAGGGGACAGGGGTGAGGTCTACTCCTCCGATGCTCTGCAGACCAGCCGCAGGGACCTGAAGGACCCCGCTGTGCACACAGGCCGACTCCAAAGAGAAGGCCACTGACCCCGAGGCGTGTCTCCTCCATGACCAAGCAGGACCGCACATTTCCGGGAACAGCCAACCCTGGATCTTCACTGTCACCGCCCACGGGTCGGGGGAGGGCCTGGAGGTGCCGACAAAGCCTGGCGTGAGATCCGGGCCGTGAGGACGTGGCCCTGCACCAGGCTGCAGGGCAGCCCCATGGGGCAGAGAAAGGTCACCGTTCCTCAGGCACTGTGACAAGAGCAGGGGGCAGCACGGCCCCAGCGCAAGGGGATTCCGTGCCGACCCAGGGTCACACCTTCCTGCTCGGGGGACGGGCTGGGGAGAGAAAGCCCCGGAGGTCAAGAACCTGCCAGCCACAAACCCACGGCACACGCTCCATCCCACAGGGCGTGTGGCTCCCGCAGCTGGGATCCGGGTGTACCCAGGACACAGGTGGCACTATATGACTCGGGGAGCTGCCTGGTCCCTTTGCTACACTTGCTCTTGGAACTTGCTCAGGCCGTGAGGCGGCCCATGTGGACTTGAACTGGGAGCCAGAGCCCAGCAGCAACGCCCCCATGGGGCCGGCTGGCGCCACAGGGAGCGGACGCAGCCTCCCCTCGAGCCCGGGGGGCCCGGCAGGCGGCAGGCGGCAGACGCAGGAGCAGCCCCCCGCACCGTGAGGGGGGAGCCACGTTCTCTGGAGCAGCTTCGAACTCCACCCTCAGAGACACCGCAAAGACGAGCTGAAACGTTTTCTTCTTTAGCAGGTTTTGCATAAACAGAGAAAACACACACACTCTGAAAACACGGCAGGCTGTAAAATGTGGAAAATTACCAAAATAAATTCATTCTGTAAAAAGAAACTTTAAATTAACCAAACACTCTGATCAGACACAAAGTTCCAATTTAACATAGAAAAATAGATATGCCCCCAGGAGACAGAATAAAAGATACGCCATTTGTAGAAACTCGGCGTGCCGTCTGAGGGAAAAGGCCATGTAAAAATTCACAAAGGTGACTTTGCGAACAGCACCTCCGAGGAAACAGCCGCCCTGGGGACAGAGCCCCGTCACCCGTCCGCGTTTTCTGGAGGAGCTCCCGCTCTCCGTGCGGCGGACGTCAGCTGTGCGCCCGGAGCTTTCAAGGTGCCCGTGAGTCCTGGCAAAGGAGCTCCGGAGAGCCCGGCCGCAGAGCCCTGGCCCAGGGGCGGCGCCGTCGGCACAGACGGTGACACGAGGAACGCACCGCTCTCCCGTCCTCGGGGCCGCGCAGTCAGCACACCGTCGACAGCGGGGGGAACGGGTTCTGCTTGCTAACAACCAGCTTCTGATGCTGATGTGAGATGTAGCCTTTAATGTGACCCTGCAGGGGAGAGGCTGGCTTGTGGCGGGGCCGAGGTATGCGTGCACTCACGACAGGCCCCGTGCGTAAGCGGCCCGCTCAGATCACAGCCGCTGGGTGCGCTGGGCGCACACAAACGAACACACACGTGCTGGGGAGCAGGAAATCTGGACTGTGTCCGCCCACCCACGTCCCCTCCGAATATCACGGTCATTCCCTGGGATGCAATCCGTTCCACCGGAAAACAGCGTCACAGAACGAAGCGGCTTTCCCGCGGCCCCGCCAGAGCCTCGCGTCGAGGCCCGGCCCGCTGGGACGCGCTGGCTCACCATGTAGATCAGGTTGGCCAGGATGCACTGCACCTCATCGATGTCCACGTCTTCCACCTGCATGAACTTCAAGGCAACCAGAAAAGCATCCAGGGACAGCTGGTGTGTTCTGAGCAGCAGGTACCTGGCGGGGGGGGGGGGAACGCACGTGGGTCAGCACCCGGTGGGAGCACCGACGGCCGCCGCGGGGGTTCTGAGTCGGGAGGGAAAAGGTCTCCCGACAAACCGCCTGGCGGACACACAGGAACCATCTTTTTGCGCGTACTGAACGTTCCACCGAACGGAGCGTGTCTCTGAAGTCAGGGTGCCCCTGCCAGTGAACAGCGTCCCGCGCACCCGAGGACACGTGGGCCCCACAGTGCGAACAGGAACGGACGGGGAACTCGGCTTCCTGACAGACGGGCGGGGGGCAGGGCCAGCCGGTTGTGAATAAAGGAAACGAGCACTTGCCCCCCTCGCTGTGACAAAACGCAGGGCCCTGGCCCCGAGCGGCATCGGGAGTTGGATTTCATCCCGCACACGCACCGGGCACGGCTGAGGCCTCATCCACACGGTGGTCAGAAACCTTCACGGCCCTGCCAGGCCCGAGTCACACTCACACTGACGCTTGTTAGGAAGAAAACGCTTAGCTTACACTTTCTTGAAGAGATTCCTGTAGGTGATGATCTTCAGCTTCTCAAGGATAAGGAAAATACCACAGCGGATGAAGAAGGTCTCGTGCTTCGTAAGGGCCTCGTTCAAGAGCAAAAGGTTGCCTTCGCTGGGGGAGGGAGGGCAGGGAATGCACAAACTTGGTCAAAGAAACCAAAGGCCAGACACGGCACGTGGGAGATTTTGAACTGGTGTCATATTTTAAAAGAGCCCAGAGGGAGAAGATAAAATACCTGACAGCTTTGGTCACTTCCGCAAACTGCATGAGATGATACTTTCTCAACAGCTCGAGGGTCGGCATGTGACCCTAAGACAGAGAGCCAGTTGTCCAGAATGAGACCCTTTGGTTTTCAACAGAACTGATCTTTGATAAAATTCATATGAAAGAATCACCTTTTAAAAACTTATAACCTGTGTTTCTTAGTTTCTTTTTTTTTAATTTTTCAGTTTTTATTACGATATGTGTTTTTGAGAAGAGAGAAAGGGACAGCATGTGAGCAGGGGAGGGGTGGAGAGAGAGAGGGAGACACAGAATCTGAAGCAGCTCCAGGCTCTGAGCTGTCAGCACAGAGCCCGACACGGGGCTCGAACCCACGAACCATGAGATCATGACTTGAGCTGAAGTTGGACATGTAACTGATGAGCCACCCAGTTGCCCCTTAGAGTTTCTTTTGAAGCAGTGGAACGTGGCCTATAAACATGGTAGCAGGTCAGGAAACGTGGGTCTGGCCATCAGAGCCCCTGGGGGCAGCATGGTCTTGTCTCTCAGTGGGATCTGACCTTGACCTTGTCACACCCTCACTGGTTATAACTTAGAGGGGAAGCCATGGCTGAAAAAACACTGGTGTAAGAGCTGGGAACTCAGAAACGTCTTCAGAAGAGGCAGCTGAACTGTTCACAACTGCAGGCTTCCGGGCAGCAGGATCGAAAGTGGGCGGGGTCGCCATGGCGCCCTTCTGCTACATGCTACCCGAAACTACCTACATTTTAACCACATGTGTATGTATTGCTTTATTTTTAAAATTTTTTAAATGGGAGGAAAGTAAACTATCACTCTGAGTAAGTTTTAGGCAATGAAAATTACTAGTTACCTGCCATTTCTTTCCAAGTGTCAAATTACCTTTGGGTGACCAAATGAGATACCTACAAACACGCAAGAATGACTTTTTCTTACTTAATCCATTTCTATTAATTTAGATTTTTAGGAGAGACAGAGATAATGTGCATTTATTGTGTCTTACAATGTTAAACTTTTAAGTTACATACTTTTAAGAGGAAGGAGCACAAAGCTGGAAGCACAAAGCCTTTCTAGAAGGATCTACAATGTCAGTTGTGCAGATGAATGGTTCAGGCCACACACAAAGCTTATTCTCCCTCTGTTTTGGGGTGAGCTCACATGGCGCCCAGACCATGGTAACTACATGCACCTGCCATCAAGTTCAAAGCAACAGGGTCTGCACGAATTGAGTGGTGTCACTTACCAGCAGCATTTTCACTGGGAGCAAATAAATGAGAATCATCCGTTTGTTCTTCTGACTCGAGCGGTGGCAGTGCTCAAAGGCAAAGGACAGGTACTCCTCAGCTGTGGGGACACAGGTGGTGCCGGAGAGGTCAGGCAGGCCGGCCGCCCTCGCGGCCCGGCCCCACTGCGTCGTCCATCATAAAAGCCTGCGGAGTCTCAGCAACTGTAAATACCTACCACCGACAGCAACCGCGGACTGCTGTATTAGGTATTCAAACGTGGGGGAAAGCCATAGCGATAACTTAGGAAACTTCAACAGAATATCACTTAAAAGCTTCTATTCTTATTATCCGCATTTTACGGCACTAAAACAAGGTGGGGAACGACCCAGGAGGCCGTGCTCCAAGGCCGAGGTCACTGGTCTGCATGAGGCTACGGAACAACACCCAGAGCAGGGGCCAGGACGGTGCTGTCGCTTCTGCTATGGGAGCCCACGACTCTGACACACGGGGAGAAAGCACTTTCGGTCAAGTCGCTTCCCGTGCACACAGCCACCGAAGATGCGGGTTGAAAAGGTCTGGTCTGTACCCGACACAGGAGGCCGCCAGAGCCACCGCACCAGCTAATTACTAAGTTTGGGAAAAAAAAACCCGACTTCACGTTCTTGCGAGCGCTCGTGACAGAAACGAACAGTGATGTGGCTTCGAGAAAGCTCGGGTCTGACGTGCACCGAGGCGGCGGCTGTCCCCCAGGGTGTCCCCTGGGGTTTCTACAGCTGACGCCCGGCCTCTGTGGCCACCGCAAAGGACCAGCAAAGAGAGGGACGGCCCCTGACGTCCAACAGGAAGGACTGCAGCGAATGACTTCGCGGGAGAGCGGTGCCCACGGCAACGGAGGCGGCGGCAGGCAGTCCACAGGCCGGGACGGGCTTTCCTTCTCAGAACCACTCTGGTGCCTACGGCTGTGCGCATGTGCACACACACACACACACACACACACACAGGCGTGCCCAGACACACGTGCGTGCACACTCACACACACAGCCTGGACGAGGTTTACAGCAGATTCCATCCTAAGTGTTAACAAGGGGCATAACTGCCCGCCGCCCAGAGCCCAGAGTCTTTAGAACCCAGGAAACGAAGACGAACCAACCTTGCTTGAAGTCGCTGTCGAACATGGCCTTGCGCCCGACGTAGTACCTGAAGGTCACCCTCTGGGCGGTGCTATAGTCGTCCTTGAGGTTGGAGCTGTCGATGGCTCTGATGAGGGGCTTGCACAGGTGTAGCTTGTTGATCTGCGACAGCCACCACAGGGGTAACTGAGGGCAGGCAGGACGCCAGCCGCGCCCCCCATGTACACGCCTCCTCGGAGCGGGGACTTCACCGGCAAAACTGCCCATTTAGAAGAAAAACTGAAACACCAGCCCCGTGGCAGACACCCAGGCTGGACGGCCTGCCCAGAGGGGCCGCTGGCCAACCTCACGAGGCAGGAAGGGCCTCCTGGCCCATCCGGGCGGCCCCTGCCCCTCCGCTATTACCGCAGCGGCGGGGAAAAGGCCAGGGGGAGCCCCGCTCCCGTGAAAGCCCCGCCCCCCACGCCGGGCACGCCGCTCAGGGCGCCGGCGCCCTGCTCTCCCTGGACGTGCGGCCCTCACCTCGCGGGGCGGAGGCCGAAACCGGACACACACAGGGCACCTGCCGCAGTCCCTGTGCCCAGCAGGCGCTCCACGGACTTGGCCGCGAGCCCGGTGTGGGGAGCACCATCTCCTGCCACACCGGGGACGCCGGTGCCGGGGAGACGGTGCTGAGCAAGCGCCCCCGCGGAAGGGTACCTTAAAGTAGATCTTGAACAGCTGGTTCACCAGGAACAGCATCCCCCACTTCTTGGAGTCCTCGATGCCGGCCCGGCTACGGAAAGACAATTTTTTACGTGGCACAGAAAATAAGCAGTTTGTTAGTCGCAAAGACCACCTGCCTAAACAAAATTAATACCTTAAGATAAAATGCTGCTCAAGCCACGCCCATGAACTAACACATAAAGCAGAGGTCTGACCTAACAGGCTGCGAGTATGCAGCACGCGTGTCGGGTCAGGCACCGTGGGAAAGGGGACGTGTTCGCGCTTATCCTGAGGACGCGGAGAACCGCGGAAATACACACCGCGGACGAACTGCAAACAGAGCAAGATGGTCACCTAGACAGTGGGGGGGGGGGGGGCATCTGCCCGGGAAGGGGATGGGGGACGAGAGTGTCCGTGACCTCCACGTGGGTTTGGGTCGACAGGGGCATGGCTTGTCCAATAGTCAGGATCCGCGGAGTCGCTGTCAGCAAATTTTACCTCAAAGCACAAGAGAAACCGTGGTATTCAGACAAGTCACGAAGGACAGGCCGCCTTTGGAATGCACCAGAAAGAAAGTAAAGCCCAGTGCTAGATGCACAGAATGAAGACACCCGTCTGCGGCGCCAAGGTCGTCAATGCTGCCACACGCCCCACGATTTTCATGTACAGGGTAGGAACGCAATCCAGGGTCCGTCTCCTGCGCCCCGCAGCCACGGTGCCCAGGCCGGCTGCCCGCACACCAGGACAGAGCCCGGCAGACCACTCACGAGCCAGGGAAATGGAAAGCACTCCCGAAGGCCATCGCGTGCGGTCAGTGCTTAAGTACCAAAGTCCTGTTTTGTGACAACAGCCAGCTCCTTCATGACCACCACTGGCCAGGGGCAGGACGTCCACGAAGACCCCTCTCCGTGGGCTTCTCATTCTGGCCTGAAAAGGGACCGACGCAGCCCGGCCCACCTAGGAGCGCAGGGTGACTATCACACGGAACGAGCAAGGGGAGCAGGGGCAGACATCACGGCCGAGCACTCTGCGCAGCGCCGCGCCCCTGCCCGTCTGGATAACGGGTGAGGAGCTCTTCCGGGGACACGCGGAGAGCAGCCCGGGAGGAAGGAGGAGTCACCGGGTCTCTCTCAAGCAGCGGCACCTACCCCCCGCCCCCCATCTTGCGGGTGGGCACTGCGGGTGTGAGGTGGCCGCCCGCGGTGGGTCTTCCACCACATCTCCTTGGTGGCCGAGGCTGCTGAGCATCTCTGCAAGGGTTTCCGGTCACGTGTCTCCCTCCTCTGCAGAACGTCTGTTCGGATCCTTTGCTCACGTAAGTCAGTTACTTACCTTCTCCTGTCACTCGTGTGCAGTCTTCACACATTCTGGACGCAGGCTGTCAGTCACATCATTTGCAAACATGTTTTTCCTGTTCTGTGGTTGTTTTTCACCTTTTTGATGGCGTCCTCTGAAGCACAGGTTCTAACTCCGATGAAGCCGTTTCTGTGTTTCTCCTCAAGTTACCGTGTTCCGGGTGACACACCAGAAAAGCCACTTATCCCACAATGAACCTGGACTGAATGTTCTGTGGGTGCGGGGGCCACAGCGTGACACCAGCGCAGCACACTCCCTCAGCCTCAGCCACGAGCGTCCCCGTCCACGGAAGTACCGCTGGGGAGCGCGAGGACAAGAGCACCGTCTGCCACGGAAGCAGAGCCTCCTGTCCAAGGCCACGTCAGAGCCCAGCACTCACAGAGGAGCAGAGCAGGGGACTGGTGGACGCACAGGCTGTGGGGAGGACCCCGGCTCACGGAGCGGCCGCTGACACCCAGCTCTGGCTGGAACGCTGTCGGGTGGGCTGGAGGGGACACAGGGGTGAGAGAAGCTGGGACACTTTCTGTGAATAGTTTTGTTTGTTTACGTAAGTAGGGAAACTTTTTCTTTCTTTGTGTTACAATTTCCCAAAACTTCCAATCAAGTGTTTTTTAATAAAATCAAGTGATTTTATAATGGCTGAGAAAACGGGGTTTCAGGAGAAAAACATAAATTCTAAAGTGGACTCGGAAGGAAAGCCCAGGATTAAAAACTAAGTGACGGTCGACAAGATCGGTCAACTTGAAGAGGCGAATACAAACCACTCAAGCCGAAGAGGACAAAGAAAACCAAGGGCAGGGCCGCCGCAGAGCACGCCGGAGACGGGCGGAAGGAGGCACCGGAAGGGAGCAGCGCTCCCAGCTCTACGGAGCCAATAAGACACATCCGTTTGCAGACCTGAGCAGCTCAATGAACCCCGAATAAGAGAAATACAGCGACACGCAGGGGCGGCAGAGCGGAGCGGCCGAGAGACACGGTGGAGACGACGCTGCCGGGGCCGGACCGCGCTCCCAACCCAGGACACAGGAAACCGAAGGACAGACGTGCTAAGGCGCCAGCAGAAAACAAGGCCCATCTAGAACTCTCCCCCCAGCACAAGGGACGATGAAGACGGTGCAGAAAAACGAGAGTTTAGGGAGTTCAGCGGCAGCAGACCTGCCCTCAGAGCAAAGCGCTAGCGCGGGTCCCCCCACAGGAAAGGGGCGGCTGCAGCTGGACCCCAGGAGGGGGGATGGGGCTCTGGGGACGCCGCAGGTGGCCGACGTCAGAGCCTTTTCTTCTCCTCCCTCGCTCCCTTCAAACAACAGTGACTACTGGAAGCAAAAGGCGATAATGATGCGGGGTGACCGCACACACAGAGAAGACAAGTGTCAACCGCTGACAGAGGACAGGAAGGGGTGTGGCGTGGGACCGACGAGGGGCGGGTGGAGGGGGAGACGCATGCACTCACGTGTCGCTGGCGCAGACGCGGAAGCAGCTCATCAGGAGCTCGGCCGCCTTCTCCAGCATGTCCCCCACCTTGCTCCTCCCCTTCTTCACCAGCTGCTGGTCCGCCTGATAGAGGCAAACAAGTCACCGCATGCACTTCCTCCAGCACCTCCGGTAATGCTGGGAGCAAAATGGCCACAACAGGGTCAAAGCCCCAGAAGGTTCTGGGGAAAGCTCTGAGTTAATATTATTTTTTAAAAATGAGGAAGTTCTACAGCGTGTTCCAACCATCCCACAAACCAAATCTCTCTTCAAGCCTTCGTCGCAGGCAGCCCCGCTCTGCTACGTGCTCACTGACCGCTCCATCCCCCTCGTACAGCAGGTCAAGACCCCTGAAACGCACCCTCTGACAGATGCGAAAGTCATTCCCAGGTTTACTCTCCCCTGGTTTTCCGGACGGTCTTGGTGAGAGGACCCGGTTCCTCCCACTCACACCCCCTCGCGTAGGCTCTCGCTCTCCACAGGGTCTACGGAGCCCCGGGCACTTTAGAGCACTTGCAGGCCATGCAGTGGTCAAAACGACTGTCAGGACAACACCAACAGCCATCACTTGTCTCTCTATTGCACGAATGTCCACACCGATGTTCACACTGATGGTGCAAAAGCGGACGGCAGAAACTGCTGGAGCCTTTCCAGCGACACCACACTAAAGCAGCACTCGGCAACACATCAACCAGCCACTAACACTGATGTCCCTTCAAAATGTCCTTGATGGGACACCTTGTGGCCCAGTCAGTTAAGCATCCAACTCTTGGTTTCAGCCCAGGACACAAACTCGTTTCGGGAGTCCGAGCCCCGCACTGGGCACTGTGCGGACAGCTCAGACCCTGCTGGGATTCTCTCTCTCCCTCCTCCTGCCCCTTCCTCTCTTGCTCTCTCTCAAAATAAGTAAGTAAACTTAAAAAAAGTTCTAATATGTTTTTGATAACACAGTAAATATTAATCTTAAAGTCCTGATCCTTGAATACGGTATTAACATTCTTTGTGACGAAATGGAAAGTATCATGTCTGTTGCACACTGACGTAGGACAGTTTTTTTCCAAGGAAAAACACCCGGGAGCTGTTGGGAGTGGCCAGCTACCTCACGGCACCGACAGCTGACCAAGGAGCACAGCGGGCCAGGCAGCAGGATCCAAAGACCATTTGCTCCCAGATGAATGAAACACACTTGTCAATTCCAGGCAAAAGCCTGACAGTATTTGTTGCCAATGACATCTGTACTTTCAAAAAAAAAAAAAAAAATCAGAATTTAAGAAAAGTTATATCAACCACGATGAACTTGGCAGCATTTAATGACTTCAAAGCTTTTCTGATAAGGTCACTGGAGACATTAACAAATGTAGTTTTTCTGGTTTGGGATTTTTTCACATAATGAAATGCGTCAACATTGGAACATCTCAACTCAGTGAACCAAAATTTTCCAAATGATCATTTGACGCTACAAAATCATACAAGAACAAATGATCCATCCAGAGTCCAGGACAGCCCGTGGGTTCTGAAGTAACAGCAGAAGAGCTCATGGCCAAGCTTCAGAAGCCACGCAGTAACTCACTGCCAGAAACACCTCCTGGGGCTCTGGTTCGGCCCAGAGAGTAGCTATAATCACCTGAAAGGCTATTAAAATACCCCTCTCCTGTCCGTCTACATCTGTGTGAGTCCAGATTGGCTTTCTACACCCACCAAGGCAACACAGCGCAGCACCACACGTGCAGCAGACCTCTGTCTGGTCACTTCCGTCAACATTAAGAGGTCAAAGAATGTGAAATCTTCTGGGTACATTTGGATAATATAGTTATTTTTTACTTAAAACATCAATTATGGGGCGCCTGTGTGGCTCAATTAAACGTCTGACTTCAGCTCAGGTCATGATCTCATGGTCTATGAGTTCAAGCCCCACATCGGGCTCTGTGCTGACAGCTCAGAGCCTGGAGCTGCTTCCGATTCTGGTCTCCCTCTCTCTGTCCCTTCCCTGCTTGCTTTCTGTCTCTCTCTCAAACAAAAAGAAAATTTTTTTTAATTTAAAAATTAAAAAACAAAATAGCAATTATGTTACCACATAAAAGACTTATTTCTTTAGATAAATGTTTGTTTAAATTCCAGTTAAAATTTTTTGTACGATAAATATAAATAGATAGAACACATATAAACGAAAGCTCTTTGGAGCCCCAGAGAAGTCACATTTAAGTTCCATTTTTCGGTTCTAAAATTTTCCACGTAGCTCTCCGTTACATCTTCTATTTCTCTGCCGAGGCCGTCTACGTTTGCATCTGCTCCAGCGTGTTCACGACTGCGCCCCGAGGCTTCTTGATGCCACTGGGCTGCCATCTGGTCAGGGACTCCAGCCCCTGGCATTTGTGGGCGGTCTGTCCTCACCAAGATCCTCCTGAGACTCCCCGAGATGTGATATTCAGGGTGCGAGGTCAAAGGACTGTGGACCCCGTGTATCTCGTTCCAGCAGCCGATGGCACACTGGTGGGGAACTGCCCCGCTGCAGGGCCGGGGACCCGCACAGGCGGGTGGGCGCGGCAGGGACCACTGAACAGGTCCGTGCTTCGGGGCTGCCTCCCCCCCTGCTCTCCTCGATGCCTCTTCGTCGCTGCCTGTGGGTATTTCTGGGTTTCCTGCTCCTCTGGGCCCCCGGCTAGGCCTGGAGGCAAGAAGGGAACGCAGGAAACCCACCGCCCGCTGCTCTGCGAGTCCCAAGCCTGATCTGTCCGCTCGGGAGCCGTGCCGGCCTCGGCATTCCCGGCAGAATGGAGAGGAAAGCTGCACCTGCTCCACCTTGTTCGGAATCAGAATGTATCAGTAATTTTCAAACCTGGAAAGGCGTGTAGGAACCAAGTTCAGAACCTCTGCTCCCATCCCAAGCTGCCCCGTGCTGCCCCCAAGGGCAAACCGGTCTGTAACACTCAAAGCTTCACCTCCTCGCACCAGGGAGCCCCGCCGGCTGCTTCCCAGGTCAACACGAAGGTGGAATTCTTCAAGACTGGACACAGCCACGTCGTAACACAAGAGGGTGCGGAACCGATCTTCCGGCCCGGCTCTGCCCCCTGAAAACCCGCCGCATGCCACGCCCGATCAGCCGCGCTCAGGAACAACTCCGTCCACGTCCATCGTGTTTCAATCCTTTCACATCAACCCAGCGACAAGAGTTTAGTCCAGCCACCTCCTGCCCTTTTGCTCTGCACCAGGCACCTCCTAACCCACTCACCCATCCCTCAAAAGTCCGGGCAGAATCACATGAAATTAAGCAACAGGTAGAAATAGAGTTTGAGTTTTAAAACAATAGAGATAGAAACTGAACTTACATTATTGGCAAATATTCGAAGGTCAAGGGCCACAGCATACATGACAGGCAGAGCCCTACGGAGCAAAAATGCAAGAATGTCTGAAGAGGCCACAAGGTCAGGGACTCCATGGCCATCGCTGGGAATAACAGAGACGCCCAGGGCCAGCACCCTCCAGGGCGGCCAGCACCCTCCAGGGATCTGAGGACCCGCTGCCTCCCTCTCCTTCTGTCAGGGCAGCTGCAGCCCCGAGCTCTCCGATCCACACAGATGCTGGAGACTCAAGCCTCCAGCCCACCCACCGCCCGAGCCTCCTCTGAGGCCTGGGCCCCAGTGCGCCCAGGGTCCTCAGCCCGAGGCGGCACCTCCTCACGCTGTTCTAGGACCTCCTCCTTCCCTTCAACCACCATCCGAACAGCTCACTAGAGACTGATGTGGTTTCGGAAGACCTAACCCAACCCTGGAGACATACAAATTGTCATCAAACGGTTTCTTTTTTTAATTTAACTGGCAGTATTGGTTTTATGTGTAAGACAAGTCTCCAGTTAAAAAAAGCTTTTTGTCTTTTCAGTAAAAGATATTTGCAAGCCTTCAGTTAGTGTAGCATAAACAAAGTTTCCGTGTTTACCTACAGTTAATAAATCAAAACACGTAAAATTAAGAATCAGTTTGTCAAGGAACTTGACTTGCCTTTTTATCCAAGTTAAAGCCCAAAGTTCAAAATTGACAACTGAAGGGAAAATTAGTATTTAATATATGTTTTGGGGTCTGGAAGGGCTGAAATAAAAACAAGGCTTCGTATTTACGTGAACACACAGCGAGCTGGCCAGTCTACCACGTAATGTTTACACTATGAAAACGCCAGTATCGGGGCTGCTCTTACCCTGCGTCGACACAGGATATTAAATTTCCACACAGAAAACACATTTATTTGGAACAAAGTTTAAAAAGCTTCTGCTAAAAACTTTAAAACGTAAAAAGCTGCCACCTGCCAGGCCCAGCTGCCTCCGCTCACACTCACCAGTTCTCCTCCTTGTGCGCCTGAAACGCCCGCAGGAAGGACGTGCCACGTCAAGGAAGGAACCGCGTTCGGAGCCCCAGGAAGGCCACAGGTGAGGACACCCGGGGGACTCTACATTTTAACTTTAGATCACATACCAGAGAGAGAACTTCTTGAGGGAAAAGTGTACAAATTACAAACATCTGAATGTCATTAGACATTAGTATAGTAAGTATATTTATTTCATACACACATTCTCCAAGGTAAGAGGCTAAGATTTTTTAATGGGCAACTTCAAACATTTGGTTTCTCTGAACCCAGATGATGAGTTACGCATAATATGTTTTAGAGCCTGTAGTATAAAGTTTATTTCCTTGATTACAGAATTCCTAAATTAGTAACCTAGTTAGTAACCTACTCTCCTTTGTATCTTTAAACAAGGTTAAAAAAGAAGCAAACTAAAAACCTAGAGATACATATAAAACCTAAGACATTCGTTGATTGAGGCCTTAGCTAGGAGATATCACTTAAATGGCTTAAGTCAGAAACTGGCTCGGTCAAGGTCATTAGAGACCACAATCAAAGGATGATGCGTGTCTTCTTGTCCCTATGCCTGGATTTCAGAGTTCTTGTGTGTCACCAAAGGAACTACACAGTGCCTGTAACGA